TGTGTGTGTGTGTGTGTGTAGGTGTTTAAGCTTCGTGTGGGCGGATACTGTGATGTTCGATAATGCATCAGGTGCCTCTGCAACACGTTCATTAGAGCGTGGATCCGCGCGCACTCACCTGTGGGCGGATGACTCTCTCGATGTTCTTCAGGGCCGTGTCGGGGGAGGGGGGTGAGCAGTCTGGAGTGGGGCCTGTTGAGCAGTTGCCATGGTTACCGTGCTCCCCCTCACTCACCGGTCCATGGGACAGGTGACCTTGTGCGGAGAGAGAGAGAGAGAGAGATTTTGTCACCTTAAAGAGTGGAGTTACCCGACAGAACAAAGGTAAGGAGGAACTTTTCCTGAGTGTTTTAATCTTCATCACCAGCTGATTGCTCGGGTTCGTCAGTGATGTCACAGGTCTACATTTGCTTAAACACAAAGTAGCTGAGGTTCATGGGAAAGTCATTCGTTTTACAGGTATCAGAGGCTTAAACGTGTTCTTCGCCTAATTCTATTGAAGGTAAACAGGAAGAACAAATATATCTTAAGATTTGAGGTGATTTATTTACTTCCTCACTCCCATTTCCACCATCTACTCATTTGTATTAGTCAAAACACCAGTGGTTTGTCCGTGATGTTTGTTTATTAATATCACAGACACAGATTCACCTTCGACATCATTTCAATCTTCTCAGAAACAAGCTACAAATCAGATTTTCAATTCAAAAAGGCACAAAAAATGATGCAATGTCACTCCCATGATTCGGTGCTGCATCATCCAGTTCTGCTCTTTGCTCTCAGGTGAATTATATATTACAAACGTATTCAAACTGTCCTCAGTCACATTTTGTTACCCTACCCAGCAAACTAACTTTTATGATCTATTGGCATAAACTGACTTGGATTGCAATTTTGAGTGAAGTGAGAAATGACAAAGAAGGTTCCTGATGTGTTGCACCTCACATTACATAATGTAATAATCAAGATGTGTCAGCAAGAGAGAGAGAGAGAGAGAGAGAGAGAGAGAGAGAGGTGACAAGAGCCTCAGCAACAGACGGGAGGAAAATATGGCAGCTGGCCAGTGAAGTTTGATGTCTGCCTAATTTTTTTTTTTAACACAAAGTGTGTTGCTGAGTTCAGATCCTGGTGTCGGAGCTAATTTCCCCAGCGTGTGATCATTTAACAGAGGAGTGAAAAACAAGAAGTACAGAAGAAGAGGAGAAGAAAGGAAAGAAAGACAAAGTGCTGAAGTTAGCCCGAATTAAATTTCAGAGGGAGAAAGCATCTGTCTTAATCAACTTCATACACACAACACAGAACAAAACACTTTTCCTAAAATACTGCATGCACACACACACACACACACACACACACACAATAGAGATGTATTTGCTTAGTAACGATACAGTATCAATGACTTGAATTCAAACCCTGGAAATAAAATAAATATTCCTTATATTTCAACTTCCCACCAAACCACATTCTCTTCACAAATTCACAAAGAACTAAACCACACAGGGGAAAAACGTCGGATGGCTGATGTTATGGAAAATGATAGTTTCCTGTCGTTCAAACACGTCTGCATTTTAGTTACTGGGAAATTTAAAAATGAAAATATGTATTTTGTCTCGAAACATTGAAAAGCGGCACATGCTTGAACTGTGTATGTTGATGTTCCATGGTTAAATTCATTGGCCTCCAATTTCAAGTGCCTGTAATTGTCTGCTCTTCCTGTGAGGAGCTGACACGACACCTTTCCCAACTCTTTTAATGACTTTTTTGATCAAGTGCTCATTTATTTCTGGTGGATCATTAAAGCTCAATGAGCCCAGTGGAAGATTAAAAACACTGATGTTACGCTTTTACAATCTCAGGTCTATTAGTCTCTTTGCATTTTCGTAGAAATGTGTTCGACTTATCAGATCAGTCTGACTCCTTTCTTCAATGGAGTGAATTGAATAATAAAATATGCAGTAGTGAGGGTGCAGCTATTTGCAGAAAGAGCAATGGGATTCAGAAGAGATGCGATAAAAAACATATAAATACTCGCAGGGGAGAGCAACATTAGAAGACACAACAGCCTATAATTTAATAACAGGACAATAAAATCAAGTTTGTAGTTCTTTTGCTGAAAGAGAGTTTTTTATTTCTATTTCTATTTTTTTACTTTGTTCCCCGGCATCATGAAGCTGCTGTCAAACAGAAAACTGATGCTCCTGAATTTCCATCTTCTGTCATATATTTATTCTAAGCTCCGCAGTCTGGCTGCAGAATGCCTTCAGGGAACGTGACACAGCTTCACATCATGCTCACACGACGTATGTGTGTCTTCATTTGTGTGCATGCGTGTGCGAACACAGACAGAGGTGCACGGTAGATTTTACATAAGGTTGAAGAACACACAGCTGCAGACACACACACACACACACACACACACACTTACACTCAATAAAGGAATCACATGGAGCTAAATCAATGATTACGTGTGGGTGTAAATAGATTAGATGAAAAATGAGAGAAGAAAAGAAAGATTCAACAGAGGGATATTTATAGAGATAGAGATTTTGTCCTATTGAGTAAATAAGCCTGTCAACTCTGAGACTCTGATGATGGATGTGAGATGTGTGTGCGTGCGTGCGTGTGTGTGTGTGTGTGTTTCCTTCAGATCTGCCTACAGCTCACTCCTGGGACACACGTTTTTTGGCCGAATGGGATTTTTACTTAAGTTTGAGTGTGTATATACACAACACACACAGGATCATTTATATCTGATAACTGTAAGATAAAACCATAGACTGTAAATAAAGATGGAAGACGAATGTGTTTATGACCTATACTGCAGACGTGTCCTCCATCTTTATATATAGTCTTTGGGTATAACATAATGATGTGTTGAAGATAAATGTGTGTGAGACAGTGAGAATTAACTTCTGGGAAAAAGTGAAGCTTAGCGTGTTGCTACGAAGCGTGACAGAGCCTGGATTTTCACAAACCTTCCAGTGAACGTCCGAAGCCGCGCAGCTGCACAGCTGGTTACTGCGGACATGCAGCACTGTGCACAGGAGCGTGTGTGTGAGTGAATGCTTGGTGTGAGTGAGCGTTCGAATCAGCTGTCCCCCTCCTGTTCGCCTAACAAGGCAAAAACTGTCAGTGTCAGACGTGTTCTGCAGCCTGTCAGTTCTGCCTTCATGCCACTGTGACGAGAAGCTTTTCATATGTTTACTGCATCTGTGTGTGTGTGTGTGTGTGTGTGTGTGTGTGTGTGTNTCTGTGTGTGTGTGTGTGTGTGTGTGTGTGTGTGTGTGTGTGTGTGTGTGTGTGTGTGTGTGTGTGTGTGTGTGTGTGTGTTCCTCTCACACGTCTTCTTTTAAGTCTAAGTGGCAAATTACAGCTGAGCACTTAGTGTAAATGGACTGCATTTACACAGCGCTTTACTCAACAAGTCGCATTCAGCCGTTCACACACACATGTTCATACAGCATCTGTACATGCTTTGACTTTTTTTTCTATCACCAATCATTCACACACAGACGGAGCAGCCATCAGGGAACAGCTGTCAGGGTTCATCATCTCAGCGTGCCAATTTGAGGAGCTGGGGATCGAACCACTGAACCCTGGCTGGTGGAAGACCCGCTCTCCCAATCCCTCAAAACACTGAGCAACTGTAAAAACAGAACGTAAGCGGGTTTGAAAGTTTAAAAAATAACCTATTGTGAGATTTTTCTCAGATGCTTTTCTTCAACAGTTAATAGTTAAGAGAATGACAGATCTAATCCATTACACATAAAAAAAGGTCTTTGAATCCCATTTAAAGACCAAAACTTAATGAATTTGTCATTCAAGTACTTATATGAGTAGTAGTAGTAGTATTTTAAGCTCATTTAACTGCAATTTTGTCCAGAAAACTGAAAGTTGAAGACATTGCACTGAGAGGATCTACACGGTAGTCCACAAATAAAATACGAGCATATGATAATCAGTTCTCTACACTGATTTTCTGTGACGCTCTATTGCCTCTTACAACAAGTCACTGGGACTTGACCGGTTTAATCGAAAAGCTCAGGAGTTAGGACTTGATGCCATTAACCACTCGAAGCCTCCAGCACCGACCGGAGTGGAATAAATGAGGCGAGACACAGCAGCGTCTCAGCTTTATACACTGGAGAGGACTGAGGGTGGAAGTTAATAATGGAGGGAGAGTAAAACTATAACATAGAGCTATATCAGAAATGTTCCAGGTATGCTGCATGTAAACCTGGGACCGGATCATTTGAGCTCGTATTTAATATTAAGATTAAAAACATCAAGATCCAGTAAATAAATATAAAATAAGTGAGAAGATGAATATCAAAGCTTCCCTGCTGCCATTAATGTGAAATCTATGTGGTGACCTATTTGGTCACGAGAAACGTTTACTGAGCTACTGTATGTGGACTAAGTGTTGAAGAGGACACACACAGACACACACACAAAAAACACATGCAGAGAGACACAGATTTGCACTTTCAAGTTGCACACGTCAGCAGCAGCTTGTTTACCAGCTGAAGGACACAAGTGTGTGTTTATCTCCAGAGGAGTCGTTCCGTTCCGATAGAAGAGAAAACGCATTTTTGCTCTGACCACTTGGCTCCTCTCTGCTCTTTCTGTCTGCACCATACGTGACTGCAGGTTTCGCCGAAAGGGTCCGATGACTGTTAGGCCTGTAAGACTGTGAGGCCCCCCCTTCTGATAAAGCTCAGTCTGCTCTGATTGGTCAGCTGACCCCACTCTATTGTGATTGGTTGACGACTGCAGGCGTGTGTAGCAAATGTTTTTATATGTGCATCTGTGTATCTTTGCTTTGAGAAGTGCTTTTTAAATAAAGATGTTATGATATTAGGTATCAGCCAGACTGCAGGTGTTTAAATACACAAAAAAACACAAAAAACCTACACAACACACTAGAGGAAGGAAAACTGAAGAAGAATCATGTCTTCTTCAAAGTAAAGTCAGCACTACAGGTGTTCAACATCGATAAAACTCAGTCAAATTAATCTCCTCTCATGAATAAAGAAAAACACATTTCTTGCTTCTCTCCGCTATCTGCCCTTCTAACAGTTGACGAGCAGATGCTGCACATTTTTTATCCCGGTCTGTACACATGTAGAACAAATGAGACGAGTCTGCCAGAAGAAAACAAAATGTATCTGCAGCGAAGTGTTGCAGCAGAAAAACGGTTCCCTCATTTGAAACAAATTAAATTCCATCAGAAAGGAATCCTTCCCCTGCGATGAGTATAATCCCGAGCTAATGTACAAAATGACTGCCTTAGGACTCATCACGTCGTGGGATTATGCACACAAGTCTGCACTCCGCACACTTTACATCACAAAGAAGAGGATTCCGTTTATTCACTGTCATGTCAGAGGACATGTGGTGCAGTGGGAAGTCGTGTGTCAACATTCCCATGCAATCTTTCCTGAAAACAGAAGCCTCAAAAGTGGGACGAGGGGATGAAGCTCAGGAAATAGCTGGAGCAAGACAAAGAGGAGAGAATGAAAGTAGAATAAAAAGAAGTGAAGGAGGGGGAGTGAGATATCAAAGAAGCAGAGACGTGAAAATGCAGATGGTCGGGACGGAGGTGTCAGTGACGACGGGCTTCAGTGAGAGTTGTAGAGTCTCGGTCTCCTCAACCGACTGCAGCAGCCCACAGACGTACACACTTGTTATTGATTACGCTCATTCATTCCTGCATCATGAGAGCAGGAGATGTGTTTCGCTGACCCACAGGACTGCGTGAACAATGAAATTGCAGTCTGGCAGCGCAGGTATGAGACAACGAGTTCTGAATCATTATCTCGTTAAAAATCCTGATTTAATTCGGTCATTACATCAGGATAAGTGCAGCTAATGCAGCAGCGTGGCCCAACACCAGCAGAGAATCCATCAGGACCACAGAGAACCCCTGCAGAGCTGTCAGACACGTTTCAGCAGTTTGTTGCCACGACACAAACACCAGCGTCTTAATCATTCCAACATTTTCTTCATATTTATCAATTGCTTTTGTCAGCGCGGATGCATTTTTGCATTTACCCCAGAGTATCCTGTGTTTGTTGTTCTTAAAGGTGCTATAAAAATAAAGTTATTATTACTAATTGGTTCAGTTTAGTTTTTTGAACTTGTGCGTTTATGTGCATTATGAGTATTTTTATAAATCATCCACAATATCATGAGACCTGATGACATCGAATGAGTCACTTCATCTACTGGGAAAACGTTGGAGCTCGGGAGGGGGCATGTGATAGGAGCCTGAAGGGCCAGCAAAGGTTACGTTATGACCCAATAACCAAGCGGGTGTGAGTGTCATTGTTTCTAAACATCTCAGTTTCTGCCCGTCCACACTATAACCCAGCCCCCTCATCTGAATCGTGTAAACTAAGCCCATATCTGACAATAAAAGTTTTTACAGGATTGGCAGCGAAGCATCACTCACAGGCGCTCCGTCGGAGTACGTCTCTCCATAAGCACGCTTGTTCCTGAGCACGCACTCGTCGGCCAAAGCTGCCACTTCAGCGACAGTTTTACTTTTCACTCACTGTTATTAAGAGCAATACACTCAGGTTCTGAATGTTTTAACTGCAGCGAATCAAAAGAACAAATATACAGAGGAAAATGAGGACTGAGCAATTGAAAGCAGCTAAACTCATATCATCAATAGTTAATTCACACCTGTATTCATCCATTTCATTTCCATCAAATGTGTATAATTCATATTGTATCAAGTCTGTCTCTGCTGTTCCCTTTTCTCTTCCCTCTCATCTCTATCCCTCTTTCTCCTCGTTCCTTCATCATCACCACCTTCCTCTCAGAGCCACATAATAAGACACTGACTCACACCCGTGGCCAATTAGCCTGACATATGACTGGACTCAAAGCAGGAATCCAGGATTTTCCCTCCTGCTGTGTCACAGATTCAGATTCATGTATCTGGCTTAGCCTGAGACGACCCTCTAACTCCGACGACTCAATGCATCATCTGCTCTTCTCTCCGTCTCAGACTTGTCTTTCGGTACTTCCCGTCTCTCTGCAACGAGACAGCACCTGCAGCCTGTGAGGCAAAATGCATTTCTAGTCATTTCTACAAATGACATGGAAATGTACAGAGTTCCTCCTCACACCTCACTCACTCTCTTCTCCACTCTCCCTCTATGTCTCTCTTTCTCTCTCTCTCCAATTCAGCCAGGTAGCAGTGCTCAGAGAGCGGAGAACAAATATGACACCCACACAGTTCACCTACGTCAGGGGAGGAATTTATTCCAGAAGACACTTTGACATAGAGCAGCTAGCCCCGCAACGCACGCACGCACACGCACACACACACACTCTCTCTCTCTCTCTCTCTCTCTCTCTCTCTCTCTCTCTGAAACACACACAGTCAGTGTATATTGACAGTTAATTTCTGCTCAATCCAACAGCCAATCACAGACGAGCTGTAATGGCCAAACGTGGGAAGAGACATGCATCAGCACACACACACACGCATACACACACACAACACAACTCTACAGTGGCCTCACTCGCTCCTGTTGGGGAGGGGTTCGATGTGGAAGGAGGAGAGGGAGGGAGGAAGGGAAGGAGGGTGTCACTAGCAAGGCAGTTCCCATGGCAACATACAGGTGACTCACCAGCTGGTGATGCAGTTGCTGTGACAACCTGCAGTGTGTAGAATCGCTATGGGAGCAGAGTGAAGGGAAAGAACAGGCTGTGGGTGTTTGTTGTCGTGGGAGTGCGAGTGTGCGACGCTGCAGACCAAACAAGTGATGAGCAAACAGAATCGACTAGAGCGTCTGCGGCCGGAGGATTAGCTCACACTGCATCCAACACTGAAAACAGATTTGACGACAGCGTGACGGGCAGAGAAACAGTTGAATCAGGAATAAAGCGGTGAAAGTCTTCCAGTTATGAATCCATATTTAGACAGGATTTGTACTGCAGTATGAGGAGAGAAATGAAGTATTTGTCATCATCCTCCTGTGTAAATAGAGTCGTCTGTCTGACATTCAGCCACTGTCAGATAACAAGACGTGATGAGAATTCTACAAAAACAAAACTGAAAAAGAAAGTTCAATGACAAATGGAGGTTTAAAGACTACAGGGTTGCACAAAGGCTACGGTGATGATTTTAACAGTGTGTCGCCAGCGGCCAGTACGCAAAATAAAATTCCATAACAACTAAATTAACATGGTAAATAAAAGAAGAATTACCTAAATCTTCAAGACTACAAACACAAGCAAGTGTCACACAGGTTGTGTGTCTGTGGCCCAGGCTCAGCCGGAGCCTCAGTTTGATAAATGATTCACTATATTAACTTTAAAGATCAAATATTGAGTAGTAAGCTTGTCGTGCTACCGGAGCGGTTGATTAAAAATGTAACATCCACCTTAAAAGTGATATTCAGAAGAAAATATTGAGTCTTTATGGATGGAACTTAAAATAAAGTGGTTTATATTTAGAGGTTTGATACGAATACACTTGTGACGCTGATGTAAAATCCCTCACTGTCACATGAAATCAGGGCTTTACCCTGAGTGATGATGAGTCAAGTTGACTCACACTTCCTGATTCCACGCAGGAGGAGCAAATTATTTTTCTCCTGTTTGTAAATAATGTGAACTGAAGAAAAAAACCTCAGTAACACTTGAAGAAATAAATACAAAGCGAACTGTGGAACAGACATAATTTCAAAAATACATGTATCACTCTCACCCACACTTTCCACACATGATTATTGCCATTGTCACCTGTGTTTATGTTGAACACACAATACGCTTGGTTTCAGCAGTGGGATTTTCATATGGACTCTTGTTTGTTAACACAGTAAACATGATCAGCCACAATATGTTCCCCTGTGAGTTTATTTTAAAGAGTCCAAAGCACGAGTATGAATATCCACAATAGATAAACTACAAGAAAGGAATTTCAAGAAAGTGGGGAAATTATTCTTATTTTTTGCCTAAAAAGATAAATAGTCTTGTCAAGCATGTTTTGCATTAGAAAAATCTCATTTAAACTTTGATTTAATAAGATATTCCAATTACTATTGAGCAACTTTCAACCAGTAACAAGCCGCATCGATGGATTAGAAATGATCCCAGCAGATGTTTTCTTTATCTTAAGCGTGAAGCAGAAGTTGTTCAGATAATTCAGAAAGCTGAGGGTGAAAGAGTGAAGCACCGTGATCAGGACCCAAAAACTGGTCCAATTTCACAGAACGTAAACTCAACAACGTTTCTGTGCCACTCTGGATTTTGCGTGGTGAGTCGGCTCACAACAGTATGCTGACTAACTATATCAGTATCTGTGTTGAATGATGTCAGATTACTGGTTATATTTTCTTCTGCTTATTCAAGAACAGGTTGCAGAGGCAGCAGGCTGAGCAGAGCATTCCAGACATCCCTGTCTCCAGCTGCGCTTCCTGGGGGATCCTGAGGCCTTCTCAGGCCAGATGGGATGTGTGGTCCCTGGGTCTACTCCTGCTTCTCCTCCTCTCAGTTGGATGTGTGTGATTAAATACTGAGCTGGTATTTAGACCCTAATATACTTAAACACATCCACCCACACCCAACAGTGCTGCTGGGTATTGACAGAGGTTTATCAGATTTGGAAACCTTGAACGTGAGAGGGCATTTGCACCCAGTTGTACTTTTACGAGGGCCACCTCTGTGTGTTAAGAAATCCAACTTCAGGTAACAAGTTTGAATCTTTGTCCTACCGTTGCGGGGCCCGCTGTTGAGCCGGTGGTTGATATCAAGCGAGCAGGGTTTGCGTGTAACGGCAGTCGTCACAGACTCGTACGGGTTGTCCTCGTCCTCGGGAAGGAAGACGTCCAGAGATGGTGATGTGATGATGTCTCCTGAAAACTTTGACTCCTGAAAGGACAGAGGGAAAACAGAGGAAGAGAAGTGTGAGAAACATTTATGTAATACATCCAGTAGTGATTGTGTTTGCAGGAAGCGGCAGGAAGTATTCATTGATCTAAACACAGACAGTTACAATTAATAATTTATCCTCTGACATAATGTAGAGAGAAACCCCAAAAACATTAAGCTCTGGTCACGGCCGTCGCTGCCACCGAGACACATCCCTTAGAAAACTGTTGAGATTAGTAAAGATTAGAGAAGAATCATTCAGTCTCATGTTGATTTGTTAGGGAAGTTCCTTTCATAAATAATAGATAGTCATCAAACTGCTGCAATTTGTGAAAAATCATTCCATTGTTGGGTTTTATGTGATTTCAAATGCTTAATGTGATAAGTGTCCACACTGCAAAGTCCTGTAAAGATTTTCAGATAGAGCCAAAAGGTTTTAATATCAATATATTAAGTTCCTAACTGATGAAAGAGGTGATTGTTAAAATCTATGCTTTGACAGAGCGATAGCTTCAGGGTCTCATCACATGGTGGGATTGGATTTTTGAGAGAAGCAAAACAGCTGCTGGGAAACGGCACAAAGTTCACTCAAAACTAACAACATCAGAAGCGAAAGACCTGATAAATTTATCAAAACAGATTCTATTTTGTCTCAGCAGGCAGCTGGAACTCTAAAAGATATAAATGAAGAGGCTCCTTTGCAGAGTATCAACCAGTGAGAGGAGATTTACAAAAATGTGAAAAAGTGACACAAAGTTCGCTAAACTAAGACAAAGTATTTTACTTTTGCTTTCAACATGAAAGCATTGTCCTGAAGTCCAGCTGAAAAATAGCTTCATGCAGATTTTAATCACACAACCAATCAGAGAACCAGAGGTACATCAACTCCAGGGGGCAGCACCAGCAGAGAACAAGTTGGTGGTTTAACAGTTAGTTTTCTTAGACCATCGACTGTAAATAAAGAGGAACGACATGACAGCTCCAAAAAGTGAAGCCAGATCATCTTGACTGCCCCCTAGTGGATTGCTGCAGTATAGGTCATAAAAAACACATCCTCCATGTTAGTGGATGGGACATATACCAAAATACCTCAATAGTTCAAATAACACATTTTTTATATATCACTATTTGATTATAAACGGTTAAACGTCTGACCTTCTCCAGCTGCAGTGATATTGACAAAACTCGTCTTCATGACATAACTCATTAATACTGACGTCAAACAAGGTTAATGTCAACTTGTTAACTACAAATATTATTCAGGAGAAGAAACAGCTGCTCTTCTCCTGCGGATACGTGTCTCAACTAATCTGCTCGACCACCAATAAGCTGCACGGTTCTCTACAACCTCTCAGCGATGCGGAGAAGCAGCCTCACTGTGAATTCTGAGCAGCTGCAGGTCGAAGCTCACCTGACTTGACATCTGCAAGTATGTCTTTGTTACTGCGTCCTCAATCCACATCTCCTGCTTCTTCTCTCTCTCTCTCTCTTTTAACTGTCTTATCACGGCAAGACTCACATATATCATCTTTAGGAGAGGAAATAATACATCATCTTTACAAAAATAAATCAAGTCTACACACATTTTATGATACAGACGAGCCTCGTCATCTTAGCTGTAAACAAAATACAGCTGTAAATAGCTGTAAGCCCTAAATACAGAGGAAGAAAGTACCTCTTGTTATTCTTGTCATTAAACTTAATGAGAAGGGTACAATCACTTTTCTTTATGAATGCTGTTGCACTTTGTTTGTGCACTTTATTGTTAACCATCCTGAATAGAGAGTCTGCCAAATGCCTCTCACATGCATATTAAATGAAATATATCTCAAGGGGGAATTTTGTTTGGAGACAATTAATTCATGTTACGCTGCCGTTACGTAGGAAAATCGATACGTCTGTTTCAAACGATGAAACTATCACTGACCTCATACTCAATGCGTCCTGTGTGTTGGCAAAAAGGATGTTGTTTTCAAACCCTTATGACAAAGGCATGTAACTGAGGCCTGATATTTTACTGTTTAGCGATTCAATTTATTACTGAGAACTATAAAAAAACTAACACAAATAAAGACAAATATATTGAGACACAAATGCACATGTTTCACGGATCGTTTCTTCTGTAAAATAAGTTTCCAAACTGACAAACAATGCCTTTGAAAAGTTTATGGGCCGATATGATTTTTTATGACCAACCCATTTATCGCTCTCGTTCTATTAAGAGATTATTTCTTTGGGACCTTTACATATTTTTTATAGAGTTCTCTCTTTCATTTGGGGAGAATTTCACACTGGTGAAAATGTTAAGCCCCAGAGGATTCGCAGACAGAAAGAAAGAGCCGGGGACCAAAAGGTTCCTTATCTGTGAGGCAGATACCCGGAGAGAGTGAAAAACAAGAGCGAGCGACGTGAAGCGAGGGAAAAGGTTACGGTGACGGGCGTCATTTCAGCCAGAGAGACAAAACATTTCTTTCCGGCGTCGCAGCCACTGGATGTCTGCCTTTTTTTCCCCCCATAATGCAACACTCTGTCATCTTTTCTGAAGTGTCACTTGGTAACCTGCCCCTGGTTGTGCCCTTTCTAATGGGATCAGTGGTAAACGTGTCACTATGGAGATAAGTTGTGGGTCTGGATATGGCTGCTCTCGACCCCACTCCAAATAGATTTTTCAGCCTCATTCAACAGCCATTACTCTTCCTGTCATCTGCTACTACATTACCCAGACTGCACCAGGCCATCAATCACACACTCAGAATGGATTAATCATTCGGGCTGATGGAGCGATCAGTCTCTTGATGATTTCTCTCGCTCACACCACACTTTAGTATAAGCCTTCAACCAAACACCACCTGTTTTTTTTCTGTCCCCATCAGCTCTCAATTAGACGGCCATTACAGGCTAATGGAGACCCAGTCGGTCTTTCATGCCCTCACTCTGCAGGAGGTCCGGGCCCGGCTGACACTGATGTGATGTGACAGCCTGGTTATGGCTGATGGAAAGGCAGAGAGCACCATGATAGAGTCCTGAAGACCTGCTGCGAGTTTACTGCTGCTTTCAGGCACAAAAGAATTCTGCTCAGAATTATAAACTCATCTGACAGCTCAGATTTAAGGTGCAATGAATCATCTTCCCGTCAATTCTAAAACTCAAGTATAACTAATACAAAAGTAAGGACAGCATGTTCTCTGAGTTACCACACTGTATTCTCCACTGTGTGGAAGTCAGATTTCTGCAAGAACATGATTTATTAAATGTCACGTAAACAAGAAACCTGATTTACACACCTAACACATTTCATTTGACTGTTCATGCCCGTCCAGACAGAAACACAGGTCTGGAGGTTCAAGCAGCGTTTCCTATCTCCTCTACTGTACTGAGCGTAGCAACATGAAAACCATTTCCATGTGTTTCTAATTAATCCTTTAACAACCAGTGCAGTGGCAAGTTCCAAACATGCCTGTGTGGAATTGGCTGTCTGTTCTGTCCGTGGAGATGCGAAAGTGACCTGCAATAATTTAGCTGACTACTATCTGGAATAACCAGATAGTAGTCAGGCTCTGTGGTTGATAATGTTGGTGAATCAAGCACTTGATTGAAACTTTAAATAGTCATTCATTTGGTGATAACTTTTAACGAGTTAGTGAAAATGAAAGTAAAGTCAATTCGAAGGAATGAAATGATGCAGGAGATGATTTAGAAAAGTGCCTGAAATTATCTGTGAAAGAACAGAGAGGTGAGGAATCTCAAGCTCTTGCTATTTTTCCTCGCCACTTCTACCTCTTATCTCGCTCATCTCGAGATGACAAACGCTCTCTCATCATCTGTCATTACTCCTGTTTCTCTAAATCTCCACCAGAATTGCCACGGGAAGAGCCAGAGAGGGAAAGAAACCATTGTGGCGCCAGAAAAGGAATAAGGGAGGAAGGGGAGAAAAGAGGTAGATGAACAGATGCCAGGATACAACTCCACACTTACTTCAGAGTTGGTGTCAGCGGATCTCGAGGAGACGTGCGCAAGCCAAGAGTGACAGAGCGGGAAGGGGAAAATGAGTCGGCAGTTAGGAGAGGAAGCAGAGGAAGTGGGAGTGCAGTGCAACTCGGAGCAGAGATTTCCTCAAACACAAAAAAAAAATAGGAAAAACTAAAATTTGAAATCGAGCACAGTAAACATGCTTGATTTCTCACACAGAAGACAATTCAGCTGCTCCGAAAAGGGATCAACCAGCTGGAATTTAACTATTCGTCCACAGTGAAGCCTGGGAACAAGTCCACGAACGTGGAGATGGAATTAATCCAGAAGTGTGACAACAGGTTTAGCTACCTGATCTTCTGACGGTATCCTCGCTCCGCGTCCTTCACGGCCCCGGAGAGGTCAGAAGGCTTCAGAAAAGTGCAAGAAAAGGCTTCATGCTGTGCGACGTGAGCAGTCACTCTCTCTCTCCGACAAACAAACACACTCATTCACTTCCCTCCCTCCACCCTCCGCCCTGGTCTCTATCTTTCAGGGCAGAGATAGCACACAGAGAAACTTGTGTCTGAACTGCACAGGAAGAGAGGAGACAAACAGAGGCCTCCTCTGGCCACTAATTAGCAGGTCGTACGCAGCTCCCGTCCAACTGCAGAGGCCAGATTAAACGTTTTATGTGTGTGTGTGTGTGTGTGTGTGTGTGTGTGTGTGTGTGTGTGTGACAGCGCCTGCACATGTGACCCAAGGATGTATGTAGCGCTGTGTGATTATATCTGTGTAATAATGCACCGCTGGGTTTGAACATACTGTCTGCTGTGACCATGATCATGAGTTTGTGTGTTTTCTTCCTTGTCTGGGTAAGAGCTGGACGTGTGTGCCTGTGTTATATACAGTGAGTGTGAGTGTGTGTGCTGATAACACAAATAGGAAATATGCCGTCCGTGTGGTCACGTCTGAGGAACTTCTATCTTAATCCTGTGACTCCCTCTTCCCTCCGTCTGCCTCCTCAGCTCCGTACTGTAAAAATCTCAACTCCGTACACTGCGGAATGAGTTCATAGGCCATCAGATATGAATAGAGGCTATAATTTGCTGGCATTTCCTCATGGAGGCTATTTGATTAGAGAGAAAAAGGGGGGGGGGGGATACCAGAGAGGACAATGGACCCTCTGAGGGCCTCGCCGAGGGGAGGTGCAGTCAAAAGAGGACAGAAGTGGAGAGACACACACTGACCAAAAAGACAGATTGCCGTAACTAACTCAAGCTAATATGCAATAAAATGTGGGCTCCGTCCCAGAGCGAGTTACAGATATTAATATCAGTCTCATGCTGTGCATTGATTAACCCAGGTCCTTGTGACGCCTGAGGCTCCGAACAAGAGTCCACAGACATGTTCGCTGCTCTGTACGTTTAGCGGAGCTGTGGTATCGATACGACCAATCACGAGTCAGCGTCAGCAGTCAATCATGTTTCACCGCGTTTTTAAAACATCAAGCAACTAATTAAAATGTCACTAATCATCAGTGTTATAATAACTACCTAAAATGCTTAAATGTAATGATGCGTACTCAAGGTTTTGGATTAAATAAAAGTGAAACTGCTTTAAGGATGTTGGGTGTTCACTTTCACTTTGGACGGAGCGAGGCCAGCAGCTCCCTCGACTCTGGTCCAAGAGAGGAAATAAGTTTATCCCAGAATGTTGAACTCCTTTAATTCTATTATAAAATCACATGATGTGAGTGTTTGGGTCCAATACGTGGATAAGTGAAAAAAAAAAACTATTCTTGTCATATATGCATTCAAATTCCAAAACTCTCCAAAACAGAGAGACGAAGGGAGCCGAGTGAAAGTGGGGAACAGAAGAGATAGAAAGAAAAGAGAGATGGTGAGACCGAGGCTGGTCGGAGCGGTGAGGAGGGCCCCCCCCCACACACACACACAATTTGATTTCCCTCCATTACTGGCTAATCCTTCGGAAATCAGCGAGCTGAGCCACCCGTGGGACACCAACAGTCGCTCCTCGGGAAAATAACACCCTTCACATTCCCCACGGTCGCTGTATTTAACAGAGCTCAAACTGCGGCTCTCCTCTGGCTCCACGCTTCATCCCAACAGACACCGGAACCAGCCATGGTGAGTGGCTGCTGACGGAGCGCCGCCGTCTCACTGAAACCTTCCCTGTGTTTAACTGCAGCCGCAACAAACGGGGAGGAAGCTTCAGATGCTGTGAGGGAATAGTTTGATCTTGTACATATGTAAGATTCAAGGACTAAATACATTTTAAAGTAAATGTACTGTTGTGATTTGTGTCATTTTCACATTAAAACCACAGCAGATCAGTTTGAGCTGATTTAGATTCTTAAAAAGCAGCTATAGAATATTTATAGTACTAGTATAGTAGTTTTATGATGCAGTTTTCTGGATAGTTGGACTTGTAATATGAAGATAAATGAAAAAAGGTCAGTAAGAGGAGAAGGAAGAGGAACCTGTCCAATGTCTGTCCCAGAGGTATTAATGAAAGTCTCTGGCGTTAAACATCAGCCATAGATACACATCTCACTCTTCCAGAGAAAACTTGAAAGTTTGAACATTCTGTGATAAAAACCCAACCTGTTAAATATATAAAAGTAAAAACCTCATGTTCTCACTGAGTCCTTCACTCACAGGCGCTCAAAGCTGCTCTCCTCTAATCTCTGCCCCCTTGATCTTCCTTAACATCGACAACAGCCCTCGTGGGTTTATGATCATAACCTGCATCAGACCTTCTCCCCCTCATCTGCTTAAAACTCTTGCCGCGGCCAAGACCATTAAAGGTCAGCAGCTACCTACTCAAGAAAGAATAACAGCTGGAGGAGGAGGGAGGACGAACAGGGACGTCTGAGAGAGAGTGTGGAGAGAGAGAGAGAGAGAGAGAGAGAGAGAGAGAGAGAGAGAGAGACGGAGGAACAGAGGAGTAAATGGAAAATGCTGATGTGTCTGTGTGATGCACCTGTGCTGACGGTGATGGAGATTTGTCAATCGTGGACATCCCACGCCTGACATCTCATGAATTTCTGTGTTGCCTGGCAACGCTGAGGGCCCCTGCTTATCTGCGTCTTGTTCTTGCGTTTGTTTTATTATCTTTCTCTCAAGGTCTCCGCCAGCGAGATGTGAAATTGTTTTTTAAAAGTCAGCACGGCTGAGGAAACCTCCTTCACACAAACTCTGGCGTAAGATGGCGTCCACATGGCAACGGTGGGAGGAGGACGTTGACGTTGATGAAAATTCAAAGACTGAACGTCCTTATTCAGGCATGTGATAAAAAGCTGAGGGGCTACGTGCTTTGCAGGATCAACAGGTTTTGTTAGTGTTGCTTTAAGGCTTTCAAAGTTTTGAAAGTTGGAGTCTTTTCTTTGTGACTTCTTAGAGTCAGTCCACTTCTTTGACTGACAGTGCTGAGTGACAGCTGCACAACCAAGACACTCAGCGTTCGGGCAATCGATTCAAAGGTTAACACTCGTCTGCAGGAATATAAAGTGAAAGATAAATGAGGCAGGGAGCGAGGTGACCATGGGATAGAGCGGGATGATAGAAAACAAGCGAAAGAAGAATTCATTCTTGCGGGATGAGAAGCTGAAAGAGGAAAAATGTTCCACGCACGCTTCCATCTTTACAATAACTGTGTTTACTCACAGTTACAGAGGGCAAATCAACATGGTGCTAACTTCATTATCAATTGCTCTTCCTCTCACACTCGTACACACTCATATCCTGTCTCAAACACACACAAACACACACACACACACACACACACACACACACACACACACACACACACACACACACAGGTGCGAACCTCTCCAGGATGAGTGCCAGTTGAGCCGGCGGGCTGCCAGTGTTCAAGACAGAGGGTCTGTTGTGTTGTCAAATGTTCGGCTGTTGGAGCCAACACACGTTGCAATGCTAAACACTCATCTGCACATACATAACTACACTTAAACACACAGCACGAGGGGGTGAGGGGGCAGTCGGAGAGGAAGGAAGGAAGTAAAATAAAAGGATGGAGGAGGAACACTAGGGGCAGAGTTTGGATTTAAGCTGTTAATAAGCACCTGTTACACACCGGCAGTGAAGGTAAGCAGCATTTAAATATACAAAATGAAACAGTAAGTAACTTTTGAGGCTTTTTAATTTTTCTCTTTTTGTTGGTAAATGACAAATGCTGGTTGGTTTTATGTTTTACTGTCAAATCAATATGGAGAAAGCCTGCTGTCTAATACCTCCATTGCAATTACGGTTTCCACTTACACTGTGAAATGCTGTCAGTGCTGCACATGCATGATGCTGCGAGGACAACTGTGTGCACACAGAGATGACATGAATAAATATATCAAATATTAACTTTCTAAGTCATTTCTGACAGGTCTTTCTCTCTCACCCCCTCTCGAATAAGTCACATTTTTCATCCACCAAAAAATCTATATAAAGAAAAATGTTATGCCTCCTTAAAGGACAGAGGAAGAGGAAGATACAACGTCGACATAACGAACAGGAGAACACTGAGCGGAGTATCCAGCGCTGCCAACAGAGCCAGTCTCCGTAGTGATGGCTCATTCACACCGTTCCCACGGTAACCAGTTAAAGTATTCACTCAGAACAATGGCAGCATCACTAACCTGTAATTTCACTGTAGTGATTCAGTGTGTGTGTGTGTTTGTGTGTGTTACTCTCCAATCATGTGACACATGTATATGTTGATTATGAAGTGAACTAAATGCAGTGAAAATAATCTGTGTGTGTGTGTGTGTGTGTGTGTGTGTACCTGTGAGAGGCTGGAGAAGCCCAGATTGCGGCAGCCATTGCAGGGCGTCAGGGCCTCCCAGAATCCAGTGGGGCCGCAGCTTCTTTCGGCCTCATCTTCCTCCAGGGCTGGAGCAAGAGGCAGGGTCGGCGGCTGTGAGGTGAAATATCGAGGATAGATTGATTCCCATAGAAAAACAAACATTGTGTAACAATGTGAAGGTCAAAGGTCAAAAGAACAATGCGCTTTACAATCTTAGTCTGTATCATTATCATTAACAAAGAGCTTAAAAGAGAAACCATATATTTAAGATATTCATTTCCAAGAAGCAAAACGAAACTCTGCAGTTTGAGTATTCTTCCTAAAAACAAGAGTTTCATTCTCAGCCTCAATCTCCCTGTTGAGCTTTTTTATATTTTACACAAGCAGCAACTGACACAGCACTTAATACAAGTAGAAACGTGTCTGCTACTGTAAATAACACAAAGAAAAGAGTTGATCCGAAATAAGGAGGCGCAGAAACAGAAAAACGACTTTAACTGACACACACACACACACACACTCTTCGGCTCCCAGGAGGCATGTGTGTGTATGAACCCTCTGGCATGAGGGTCAGGAGGCGTCAGATCCAGCCCACCCGATATGAGCAGAGGACGCAGGTCACAGCAGATTATAGACAGAGCAGCATCACCGCATTGTCTGATCTCTACAAGCAACAGCAGGAGGAGCAAAGAGACCGAGGGAGGTCTGATGAAAAGAGGGTGAGGAGGACGTGGTGTCAAAGGAGGGACGACTGCTCAGGCAGGAAGAATGTTGGGAGTAATAAAGATGGAGGGAGAGACAGATGGGAAGAGGAAAAGATCAGCAGCGAGACTTGAGACGGGAGCAACGAAATGAGGCTGAAACCAAAAGGTCACCAATCGCTCCAGATTCCAAGCGGCCTCCTGCAACAGTGGAATATTGATTGATGTAGAGGGGACTGCAGTCTGGGCACGCACGCACACACACACACACACACACACACTGAACTGTATGCATGAACAATAGATCCATCCTCTCGTCACAGAACAAAAGAACATCAGCCAGTGTTCGATAGAAAGGACTCCATCCATTATTCACGACTGAGGACTGAATAACTGATCAATATGACATTTGTCATCTCTCCCTTAAAAGGACAGATTTTTTTTTATCATAAATTCTTTGTCCTGAACTGATTCTACAGTAATACACTGTATATTCAGGAGTCAGAACTTTTAGACGTAAGATATGTGACCTCGACCTCTCGGGGGTCTTTTCTTTCGCCCGGGGATGTTACAGTAGAGAAAGAAAAAAAACCACCGGGAAATTGAATAAAAGGGAACAAATTAAATGTTCTGTTGAGTTAAATCAAATTTCTCTGGGTTGGAACATTTTTGGAAACTTTTTAGACAATTTAGTCAACAAAATATGTAACATGGTTCTTGTCGTTTTTAGACATTTTAATTCAGAATTTCTATTTATTAATTCTTTAAATTTGACAGTCAAACTTCAAAACTCAGTTTAACTAAAGTTTACTATAAACATATTCTCTCGTGACAACACAGCTTCGTTTTCACTTATTAGAAATAAAAGGTAAATGTGAATGGAGAGAAAATGTAAATAAGCAATTCAGTAAGAACCAAAATCCATTAAAAAGCATAAAAAGCAATAATTGGCGATAATGATTTAAAAAAATGATATTCTATATAGGTCTGACATTAAATATTCCAGACGACAGATATTCTCAATCAATTAAGGATTAACCAGGTAATGACTTTTCCTCTAATATTTCCTGAAGGGTTATTTTATCTTGACAACAGCTGACAGAACATAATTAGATAAAACTGTTAATTTGCCTTTTAACTTTTGATTGATATCAGCTCTTCTATATTTGCTCAGCGCTAATTAGCAAACGTCAGCATGATGGATAAAGAGTGAACCTCTTAAATATTCCATGCTATCTATCAGTTTGTTAGCCTCGTCCCTGCGAGCATGTTTAGCATGTCAGTGTTCACATGCGGCCTAAAGCAAAGCAGCATCACAGCACAAGTTTCAGTTCAAAGAAGAAGGTAAACGTCTCCAGTAGGGAATCAAAACATCAACTGAGAAGAAAAAATGCCAAACATTCACAATTCAAGCTTTTCAATTATGACTTTTTCCATTTTCTTTTTCTATATTGCTGCAGCCCTTGGATTATAGAACCAACCTGTTCATTATTTCACTATTTCCTGAGACACATCAACTATAAAAATAAAAGCAGAAGCTGGATATTTTAATTAAAGTGGCACTAATCTGAATTTGCAGTTGTGCTTCAAATACATGTAAAAGCAGAATTAATATTGAAAACAAATTACCACAGTCAATAAACCAGCGACACCAGCTTTCAGAAACATTTACTGTCCAACACTAATGAGCACATGTACTGTATATTTACTCTTTAGAATATTTGCATTACTACTCTGTTTATACACTGCATTCTTCCTGTGTGTGTGTGTGTGTGTGTGTGTGTGTGTGTGTGTGTGTGTGTGTGTGTGTGTGTGTGTGTGTGTGTGTGTGTGTGTGTGTGTGTG